CATTTTTTACGAAACTAATAGAATATTCGTAATCAGGACGCCGAATAACCCCTAACCCGAAAGTTTCAGGGAAAATTAAGATTTCGTCCCAACTTCGAACAGTTGGACCATGGGTAGATAGATCAGTAGCCCGTCAGGCTCATTGGTAGATAATTTGGAGGCGACCTTCTTGTCATCTTTCACACGGAATGAGAAATCCTTCCCGTAATAGACAATGGTAGACACTCAAGCGATGGGCGAGAAGTCACCAATGACTATGTCATTAGGTTCTCCTCCTTGTCAAACAGTGGCAGGATGGGCTTCTGGTCATACTTCTGGCTGGGTCTACTGCCGATAGCTAGATCAGCTGCAAAAAACGCAACGTTGTGTGAGACTTGCCCTGCGAGGGAGAACCTCGGTTTCCGTGGTAATCACTAGGACGGACCCCTCCTATTCCACGTTAGCCCTTCTCCAAGCCTACGGGGGCAATTTAGTAATCTTTATAAATTAGAGAGACACACGAACTCGCAGTCGTAGGATCTCAAAACGAACATAAATCCGCATTATATGCATGCGCAGGAGTGCACGATCACAGGAAAATGACAATAGAAAAAAAGCAAAACTTTGGCACTGTGGGGAACCATCAACACCGCCCTTTTCCTTCCGATTCACAGACCGCACCACTAACCACTAGGCCATCCGACTGCCGCTGATAGCTGGCTTCAGACGGCGCTGATGAATGTTCCACAATAGTTTCAATACATGCCAAGGAGATCGTTTTATTTTTGACCGAATTCCGCATTGTTTTCAATGTACAATTCATGAGAACCTTTTGATATGACACTGGTCAACGCTGTGTGCGATGTACGTCACAACAAAGCGGTTAGAACGGCAGTTCCTTAAGAATTTTTTCTTCGCTCCTTTTTTGGTATTCAGAGGGCCGCTCAGGAAAAATGAACTACAGTTTGGTGTTCCATGCATGTGTCCCTATATCATGCAAAAAACCGTTTTGAGAAAGCTTGGCATTTCCCAAAAGACCTCCCTGGTTAGCTTCACTGGAAGTAACAACCGGCATCGGATGGTTACCCATATCTTGAGTGTACGTGGAATACGAACCTCTGACTGATAATAATAACTCCAGTATCAATCGGGTAAGGTTCGACTCATTCGGACGTCTCTTCCTCCAGTGACGGCCGGCTATCAAGTGAGTTCTAAGTAGCATGGGAATCGCTCAAGAACGTGCGCATGATGACATGATCTGTCTTCACGGTGAGCAGTGACCAATGATCCTGCATGATGTGCTTCGAACCAACGACACTGACAGCTTCTCTACGTGTCTTCGGAAAATGGCTTTAGGCATTAAACCGCGCTCTAGACACTACCGGACCTTGTTAGAACGGCTCTCTCGATTGTGAAGTTGCTAATAACACTCATAACCCCACGATTCTCCGGAACCACCTTCCTTCACATCATAAAGTCTATCGCAGCGCTGCTAAGCTGTGCTACTGCAATGATCTCTTGCGTGTGTCCTGATCCCCACACTAAAAGGTAACTCACATAGGAAGAAGTACAATATGTTGACGTCAGTGCTTCATCAAAAGTTGTGCCATCATGTTAGCACCAGATGTTTATCAAGTACGCTTAGCTTCACTGGAAGTAACAGCCAGCATCGGATGGTCACCCATATCTTGAGTGTACGTGGAATACGAACCTCTGACTGATAATAATAACTCCAGTATCAATCGGGTGTGGTTCGACTCATTCGGACGTTTCTTCCTCCAGTGACGGCCGGCTATCAAGTGAGTTCTAAGTAGCATGGGAATCGCTCAAGAACGTGCGCATGATGACATGATCTGTCTTCACGGTGAGCAGTGACCAATGATCCTGCATGATGTGCACGACACTGACAGCTTCTCTCCGTGTCTTTGAAAATTAGCTTCTTCATAGACATTAACGCGCATTAGGCACTGCCTAACCTTGTTAGAACGGCTCTCTCGATTGTGAAGTTGCTAATAACACTCATAACCCCACGATTCTCCGGAACCACTTCCTTCACATCATGAAGTCTATCGCAGCGCTGCTAAGCTGTGCCGCTGCAGTGAGCTCTTGCCCAGTACCTGTTCCCCCACACTAAAAGGTAACTCAATAGGAAGAAACATGCTGACGTCAGCGTTTCATTAGAAGCTGTGTTATCATGGATGAATCAGATGTTTGTCCAGTGATGTTCAGCTCTGTGAAAGAAACAACTGTACCTACTGCTCATATCTTGAGAGTGTAGGTGGAATACAAACTTTTGACCGATAATGCTAACTCCAGTATCACTCCAGTAACAACTTAAATAGCATCACAAGGGAAGGTGGTAAAACGTGAACCCAATGAAGGCAAGCTTGTATGACGATAATTTTGTGTCATTTGTCACTCGTTGTCGTGGGCAATCCAAAGACTAAAGCGTTAGGCTCGATCGTTCTGCGTAATTACTTGCTACCTTCAACGGCAGTTAGCATATGGTAGAGTGGAATGCATTGTAACATTTAACATTGCATTACGTTGCCATCGCACTGTTGTGCTACGGCTCGAGCATAGTATAAGGGCTTCGAAAGGAATCGTCAGCGAGCAAAAAAGACGAAGCAATCACAAAATGCACTAAAGAACTACTTTGGTTGTGAGGTAAACCTATGTACGATGAAGATGCATAGCGTGGTAATGGGAGAGCAGCGAGAGAGCACGGCGTTCATGAGAACACTGCGGTGGCAGTAGTCAAGGCTACCAGGCCTTACCGCCTTGTAATGCTTTTCGAATTGCGTTGCCGCACTCCTGTGCTTCGGGACCCTGTCACCGCATTCGCGCAGAAAGCTGTCCAAATTTTGATCGGACACTGCTTTCGAGATTGACGGTGGGGTGCCCGCAAGCGCTGGATCCTGAGCGAATGGCGAGAACCTGCGCAGTATCATTGAAGCTTGAATGGTGGACATGAAATTCGAACAACACTCGGCATACAACACTTGCTGGAAATTCCTACCTTTACAATCCTTTGTGAATGAAGTGGAAACCGATACGCTTTTCCCCAGACAAGCATGTATTCGTCAGGCCTTGTATGTATGGATGGCCCCTGATGGATAATAATTACTGGTTATCACGTATTCGAATAGAGCAATAATTTGATGTTTGCTTCGTATCCCCCCGCTTCCCGTTCCCAATTATCCTCCATTCTACTCCATTTGCAACGAATTCTCTGTGTAGAATGACCAAGAACGCGTTCAGAATATTTTTATGGTGATTGGGAGAGTTGCTGCAGTTATACCGTCATAAAGCAGCGCTATCACAAGACCTGCATTTCCCACAGTTTTGTTAGCAGTAGTTTATTCTAGCACCCTTACCACCCTTATGGATACATGATGCATGGTAAAGGCTTGTGCTAGAAGGGAGCTACAGACAGACGCACAAACGGACACAACAAAGTGCTGCGTTGAACGCTGGGTTTTATAAATAGAGGTGCGTCAAAAACTTCTCCGCCACATTTGTGCCTTCTTTAGTGGAGAAATGATTGTTAAGATGATAAGATCTCGAAGTTCTCACGCCGATAGACTTTATTGACGTCTTCTGAAAAGTTTTAGGCCTACTTAGCCAAATATCGCCCTTAGAAGAAATCCAGCCCTCTATCCTTGTGTGCAGGTGTTCGATATAGTCGAAGACGATCGAGTGGTTTCGAGTGTAGACTCATGTCAGCACCTCTGAAAAACCGCAAGTTCGATCTCTGCGAGGCTTGATATATGCCTCGCAGAAAATGCAAAAGTAATGCTAGCCACCATCTGATAGCGTCAGATGCGTCAGATGTCAAAGGTTCACAGGCCGGCTGATGAATACCCCAGTCACACAAACCATGTCTAAAAGTTGCCAAAGAATCAGTGATAAAGCTAGGACGTCACCCGGAAGTGGCGCGCAGAACCCCCGCCCGAGTTCTGTGGTCAGTATGCGAGGGCTACCGAGGAGTGAACGGCCTCGGCCAAAGAAGCTAGTTCGAATTGGGACTCTGAACGTAGGATCGCTAACTGGAAGGTCCCGAGAGGTTGCTGATCTGATGACGCGCAGAAAATCCAAGTCCTATGCCTTCAGGAGACGCGATGGAAAGGTGCTAAGGCCAGGGAAATCGGGGAAGGTGTCAAACTCTACTACAATGGAGAAGACACCAAGCGGAACGGTGTGGCCATAGCGGTAGCGGAGTCGCTCAAGGACTATGTCTCCGCTGTGAACAGGATCAGCGATCGGATCATGGCTGTGAGGATAGACACGAAGGAGGGGTACTGGACAGTACGCTCCGCAGACGGATGCCCCGAGAGTGAGAAGGACGAGTTCTACCTGAGCCTTGACGAAGCCATCAGATCGATTCCGGAAGGCGATTACCTGACCATAGCAGGTGATCTGAATGGTCACGTCGGCAGTGACAGAAGAGGCCTGGAAAGGGTGCACGGAGGTAGAGGATAGGAGTGAGGAACGCCGAGGGAGAGAGGGTCCTGGACCTGGCTACGGCCCACGATCTGGCAATCTGCAGCACGTTCTTCGCGAAAAGGGAGACTCAGAAGGTAACCTACAGCAGTGGAGGGAGACAAACGGAAATCGACCATGTGCTGGTAGAAGATCATCCCTCAGAACTGTGAAGGACATCAATGTTCTCCCTCTGAAAAACTGGCTCCACAGCCCCTCCTGGCAGAATATCCCCAAGAAGACAGCGGTTGAAACCGAGCAGGAGAATCCGGTGGTGGAAGTTGCACCAAGCGGAGAAAGATGACCTCAAACGAAGGATAATGGAAGTTGGTCTCCCAGATCCTGAACGGGCCAATACAGCGGACTTGGGCAATGCGGCTGAGACCATCCTGCGATGTGCCAAGGAGGTACTGGGCGAGACGCGAGGTGGATTCAGAGGAGACAAGGCAGCGTGGTTCTGGAACGAGGAGGTCCAGCGAGTCGTGAAGCAGAAGAAGGAAGCGCAGAAGACCCGGAGCCCCGAGGACCTCGCTGCCTACAGAGTTGCAAGAGGCTCGCTAAGGCTGCCGTCGCCAAGGCGAAGAACACGGAGATGGACGCCTTGTACGAGAAGTTGGAAAGCAGAAACGCAGAGAAGTTCGTCTTCAGACTGGCCAAAGCCCGGCATCGGGCTACTCAAGACATCAGGGTGGTGAAGAGCGTGAAGAGCAGCAACGGTGCCATCCTGAGGAAGCCAACTGAAGTCAAGGAGGAGGTGGGAAGAGTACTACAGGGCACTTCTGAACGAGGAGTTCCCCACAAGGACACTCACAAGCAGAGGCGACGGCTGGCCCCATCTCACTCTGGACAGAGGATGAGGTTCGTCGAGAAGATGAAGGTTGGAAGGCGGTTGGTCCAGATGGGGTGCCAATCGAGGCATGGAAAGTACGGGATAAGATGGCTCACCAGCTTCCTGAACAAGGTAACTGTGGAAGGAAAGGATGCCAGATGCCTGGAGAACAAGTACTATCGTCCCCATCTTCAAGCAGAAGGGTGACGCGATGGACTGCTCCAACTACCGCGGGATCAAGTTGACTGCTCATACAATGAAGCTGTACGAGCGACTGGTCGACTCGAAACTGCGGAGCTGGTCCCGATCTCCCAGGAACAGTTCGGGTTCATGCCCGAAAGGTCTACAACGGATGCCATCTTCATCGCAGGCAAGTGATGGAGAAGTATCGAGAAAAGCGCCGACCCTGCTACCTAGCCTTCCTCGACCTGGAGAAGGCGTTCGACCGGCTACCGCGAGCAGTACTATGGAGAGCGCTCAGGGAACGAAACGTGCCAGAACACCTGATCTCTCTGGTGAGGGATGTGTACGACGGGGCAACGACAGCCATACGCACCCGGTGTGCACCAAGGTCAGCTCTGAGCCCGTTCCTCTTCCTCCTAACACTAGATGTCCTGGTGAGAAGGGGCTCATGGAGGGACCACTGAAGACCATCCTCTACGCTGACGACATCGCCCTGATAGCGGATAGCAGAGAGGAACTTCAAGCCAAGGTGCAGAATGGCAGAAGTCCTGGCAGAAGGCTCCGGCTGAATGTCAAGAAGACCAAGTTCCTGAGCTCTGAAGAGGGTGCAGAGCCGATCGTGACGGCATGGTGAAAGCATCGAAAGAGTGGAGGACTTCCGATACCTTGGGAGTGATCTGGCAGCCGACGGCAGTGTGGATCAGGCAGTAAAGGCAGGATCAACGCGGCATGGATGAAATGGAGGGAGTCCACTGGAATCCTCTGCGATCGAAGGTGCTCCAGAACGCTCAAAGGGAAGGTGTACCGGACAGTGGTAAGGCCTGCGATGCTATACGGCAGCGAGTGCTGGCCCCTGAACAAGAATCACGAAAGGCAGCTTCACTCCGCTGAGATGAGGATGCTGAGGGCCTGCGGCTGGACGCGACTGGACAGGGTCAGAAACGAGGATGTCAGAGCGGTCATGCAGACTGCCCCTGTCCAGCTGAAGGTACGGGAACAGCGTCTGCGATGGTATGGGCATGTGCTAAGGAGGCCACAGGACCACCCGATAAGAAAGCGATGGACTTCGAAGCGCAAGGCAAGCGACCGCGAGGAGCCCCAAAGAAGAGGTGGAGAGACGTGATCAAGAAGGATCTAAGTGAAGTCATGGCCACAGCAGAGGACGCCTGGACAGAGCAAAGTGGCGACGACTGATAAAGACAGCGGACCCTGCGACTGCGCGGGACTAACGCTAGGGAGAAGAAGAAGGTGGGCGCCATTGAAGAGCGTGTGCAAAGTGCGGAGCGAAAATATGGAGTCCCCAAGAGAAACAGCTTCTGGGAATGCTCACGTGGAAACGGATCTGCCACGATGGGTGGAATCAGAAGTGCTTTTATGACGGAGTGCATGGCAGGTGCGGATCCACGTGTAAGTTTATGGGAAGGTCCAACATGAATCAGTTCACGTTCACGCTTTTGACACGTTTGCACGTGTTGACTCCACGCCGCTAACAGTTGTGGAAGTTTTACAGCGGGAATTCAAAATTTTCATAGTCGAACTGGTTATCATAATTATTATCAAAACCAACGCTTATGTTCGTTCTCTTGCTATACTATGAGGCAGAGGACCTGAGGTACGGCTTTCTTTTGTAGGAAACAATGGGGGAGGGTTCCGTGGTAATTTCTTCAGAAGCACATTTTACGAAAGAAAAGCAGTACACAAACAATGGGTCGTCGGATCTGAGTTCCAGCGTAAAGGAGCTGGAGGTATCTTCAAGTTGCATAACAAGCATCGTAAGGGAGCTGCTCAGCTGCGACCTCTTGACTATGCTGAGCGTCACGGCTATATCCGTGGTGTCGTCAAGGACATCATCCACGATCCTGGACGTGGTGCCCCTCTGGCCATCATTGCTTTCCGCGATCCTGCAAGTAAAGAGCACCGTTGTTGCTGTTGAAGGGATGTACGCCAGACAGTTTGTGTGTGTTTGAGGCTCGAAAGCTAGCGTTCAAGTTGGAAAGATCGTACCTGTTGAAAGCCTCCCAGAAGGAACCACCATCTACAATGTTGCAGGAAAGTGTGGTGACAGAGAAAGCTGACAAAATGCTCTGGTAACTACGCAACCGTGATCGCCTACAATCCCGAGACCAAGAAGACCCGTATTCGTCTCCCTTCTGGAGCGAAGATCATCCAGTCAGCCAACCGTGCCATGATTGGATTGGTTGCTGGTGGTGGTCGTACTGATGAGCCTATGCTCAAGGCTGAACGTGCCTACCATAATAAGGCCAAGAGAAACAGTTGGCCACGAGTAAGAGGTGTTGCCATGAACCCCGTTGAGCTTCCCCACGGAGGAGGTAACCATCAACATATTGGTCATCCCTCAACGGTCCGAAGAGACGCATATGCAGGGAAGAAGGTCGGTCTCATCGCTGCCCGTCGTACTGGAAGGATTCGTGAAGGAAAGCCACTCAAGGAGGAGGCTGTTTAAGCTTATTGTTTTTGTTGGAATCCATTTTAAATTAAGTTAGGGATGGTGAATGGTACAAGAAAGAAGGAAAAACCATGAGAAACGGCCCAGAACCCGAGAAATGGGACCCCTTCCTTGCCCGTTGATTTGGCATTGATGCGACTTTGTGCCAGATCTTTCAGCAAAACGCTCTCTGCTATCTGATCATTCGCAGCGTATAGACTTGTGGCGAGTGGTGAGATAGTTGGTGGGCGTACCTAACTACGCCAAGGGTCAGCCATGTTAGATCGCCTCCCCACTTAGCAGTTCCCCTTCTTCGACCTTCGATCGTAGCGTGGAATCCTCCTTTGAATGAAATGTACCGCAGTACGTCCTACACCACACAGCATGGCCTGCGACTCGTCCGCTGACCCGTCAGCGTTCGAGCCTTCTCGTCGCGCGACTTGCCTCTCCTTGGATACTTTCGATCACTACAGATGAGTACGTTGGCTTCCACCATCTCTCAACATTGTGTTTGGAAAGTGAGGTTCGTATATAGTCAACCTAATAGATTCATTTTCCAGGTTTCCGACAATACAATGAAGGCTCTGATCCTTATGATGCTTCTAGCCTCATCGAGCTATTGCAAAAAGTGCGTAAAGAGCGGTTGCTCAAAATGCACTGAAGCTTACACAGATATGAAGAAATGGACAGACAATAAGTGGGATTGGGTGAGAAGCAAAATTCTCCGAATTTTTCTTTTTTTGAAAATGGCCCCTCTACAAATCCGAAGCGGAATTAATCACATCTTCCTTGATTCGAACCAAATGAACCAAGTGGGAATCGAATGGCATACGAAGGGGGGGGAGTGGGCAAAAAAAGACGATTTGCTCATGTCGCACTTCGGCCCGTTTTCTTCGCAGATTGCCGTCGTTGACGGAAGTTCTCAGCAAAGTATTCCCTAAATGTCCCTCTATAAGTAGACGCAGGCCCTCCTTCACTGCCCTCACCGTCTTCAGAATATGACGTCATCTGTCATCCGTCGTCAAGCTCAAGGAGGCCTACCGTAAGTGCTTCAGCCTGAAGCTCTTACGCAATTTCGTGAATCGATTCAATGTTGGATAGTTTTCTAGAGGCATTAGCTCCACTATGCAAATCCCCTCGAAACTCGCTTTCAGTAAGGTCGTTATGGTACACGATCCTTCGAAGACACCCATTGAGCTCGACTAGTGCATCATGTTTCCGCTGTTTTTTTCAAACGCTTAGCCATAAGTTAATTCGCTAGTTCCTCCAGAAAGTGAATGGACGAGAAGGTCAACAGATTTTTACAACCGTATCGTTGACCAGAAGTATTTCAGGTCAAATTTGTTTGTGACAAAGCCAGACGAATGCCAGAAAAAACCCTGCGCGGGGCTAATGGCTCATGTTAATAAGTTGAAGGTAGGTTTTTGAATGAGAATATCACCGTAGTTTATAAACCACTGTCACGCTTCCCATCTCTGAAGACCTAACGAAGGATGGAGGCGGTTGAAGGGGTGCCGTGGAGTTTTCCTGTGTCATAGGGAAATCCATTCAGGGCCACACACTCTAGCACTATGTAATAACATTAGAACTTTTCCCCTTACGATATCCCCTCCCCCCAAAAAATTTTACTCTGAGCAAAACAAGGTATGACTTCGCTCGACTATACCATAACCCGCTATCTCTACAACTATTCTTATCAAAAACAAATCAAGTAAACCCAAAGTGTAGTGTGTTTTCAGAACATGCAAATAAAAGAGATTTGCAAGCTGCTCGGCGAATGCTAGATTCATTGAAGTTTGGCTGCCTCGACTGTTTTTTTTTCGATTTCAGAGGCTAGCCACAGAATAAAGCTTGTTTGAAGACGACTTGACATGACACTTTCAACCATTTCACAACCTCAGTGAACCGTAAGCATAAGCCTCCTGACCATAAGATAGTCAGGCGGTAATAAAGCAAAAAATCGGAAAAAATAGTGCCTGGCATCATTATGAGAAGGATCTCTATGATGAGTAAGCGAGCGCACGCAATGAAAGCTGCCGAATCGTTCATCTGCCTTCAAAATTCGTTCAATAAGTTTTATCTTTAAGACATCAATAGAACCAGAGTATTGAAGATTGATCGCATATAAAAGAAAGTGAGGTGCTAAAGTGAGTACAAGTACAGGCAAGTTACAAGAAATGACTCTGGGCACAAAACAGATCACTGAAGAAGATCAGGAAGATCAGGATCAGGAAGAACGATGATCTTGATGCAGCTTGTGCAAAGGGCGTCGCCCTTGGAAAGGTGAGGTATCGGTCCTCGGCCGCTGCAGCTAGGCGTCTCCCCGTGTCGGCGGCGTCGCTGGTGTCTGCCCTGAAAAGGATGAATCGCACTCATTTTTGGGTGAACTGAGGAAGAACGCTATGATTACAGATTAAAGGCCACACCATCCAACCACATTTTTTGTAATATGAAGGTACTGGCGTGACTAACTTCACCTCAATTCCATCTTCTGAAGCAGAGAGGAGGTTGTCCCGCTATAGGGCCTGGGTCAGGTGAGATATCGAGGAAAATTTTGAAATGCTGCCCTCCCTTCTCCAGCGACAAACCACCATGACACGACTCTCTGTACCAAAGGAGGTGTGGAAAAATTGTTTCTCCCTCCCCGAAAACCTTTCTTCAGGAAAAAACGCACAATAATGAGTCCTAAAGAGAAATAAATTACAAAGCAATGAATTAGCCATGAAAATACTAGATAGCTGTGTACTGATTGATCTTGGGCGTTAACACATGAACAGCTTGGCTACTGGAGGAACTCGTTGGGATTTGGACACATACAGATGACCATAACTTTTTCGTGAACGAATTCTCAATCTGAACAGATTTGGAAGTTGACGGCAAGCTCTTTCTAGCCAGTAATGAAATTACGACAACTAATGAGTGCGAGTTTTTACACTTATCAAAACCATACCTTCCTTCAAACTTCGGTAAATCTGAAAAGCTAATACATGTAAACCAGAAGATCTGCTCCACTGAAGTGGCTCATTTCATTGAATATGCCAGAAATGGTTCCGTAGAGGATTTTTGCCCGAGTACCGCCAAGTACCGGGCTTCTCCCTCGAGAAACTCTCTCGAATGACTATAGCTCCTTTCAGGAGCGACTTTGTACAAAAATGAAAGCAGTTCGGAGTTCAAGAAATTTTGCTTCTCAAAATATCCTACTATCCTACTATATATAATCGGCTAAGCGGTTGTGTGTGTGTGTCTGTGTGTGTGTGTTTGTCTGTCTGACCGGAAATTCATAGCTCGGGCACCAGTGGTCGTCAGGAGTTGGTTTCAAGATATGATATAGGGGGTGGGACGGGAACATATTTGGTGGGGGTCAGAAAGTGATAACGACTGATAAGGGCTGATAAGAGGCGCTGAAACGCAAATTTCACGAAATTCATAGTGCGCGTCCCAGCAGT